ACTTTAAGCCACAGTGCCAGCACCACTTCTGGTTTTCTGGTGATTAATTGGAAGAATCTCGTGGACTTTCCTGCCCCAGCTGGCTTTGAATCGCAATTTGCAGATCTCAGCCTCCTGAATAGCTAGGATTACAGTTGTGAGCCATAAGTGCCTGGTGGATCATTGCCTCCTTCCCTCCCTCCCTCCCTCCCTCCCTCCCTCCCTCCCTCCCTCCCTTCCTTCCTTCCTTCCTTCCTTCCTTCCTTCCTTCCTTTTTTGCTGGTCCTGTGGCTTGATGTCCTTAAGCTCCTTTTGCTCAAGGTTAGCACTCTACCACTTGAGCCACAGTGCCACTTGCAGCCTTTTCTATAATTAATTGGAGATAAGAGTCACACAGATTTTCCTGCCCAGGTTGGCTTCAAACTGCAATCCTCAGATCTCAGCCTCCTGAGTATTAAAAGGAATAATGAAGCACACAGAAACATGTTTAGGTTCAGCGCTTGGATCTGCCAATTTTAAGAAAAGATTAACACTAATCTTCCAACTTCAACTTCATTTGAACCACATTTTAAAAAGAAAAAAGTAAGTACAAGACATTATAATAAGGATTATTTAAAATATAGTTTTATCAAATGTGAAAAACAGTTTGAAAAATGACAGGCCTGAATATGTTTTTTGTAGTAATATTGTTGCACATGAAGCCTTAAAACCTCTAAAGTTTTAATTTTTTAAAGGTACTTTAGAAATTCAGCATGCTAAACTTCCTGGTAAGCATGTTGAGAAAAATTTTCAACACAGGTTTTAGTTGTTTTTCTATGATTATTGAGAAATCCTTACTGGCATATTTAGATGAAGATCATGTGGCAAAAGGAAAAAGTATCCCCCACAGCTGCTGAAAATGTATTCTTCCAGGATGTTTAAATATGGTGAACAATTTTTGATCCTAAGACAGCCAATGCATTAAAAACGATACCTAGTGGCAACACATATCTTCGAATCTGTACTGTTGCAGAAACAATGTACTATTTGTACTTATTTAGAAACACTGCTTATTATTTAGTTGTAGTCTAGTATAAATTTTGTAATCCAGCTTGACGAAACCACTGATATAAGGAACTACACATCATTTACTTTATGTCAGATATGAATGACAAGATGCTTTTTCATGGAGATTTTTTTGTGGTTCTTAAATATAACCTTGCATTAAGATAGTTTAGGTGTTTGTACACAATTAGAAAGATGCACTGTTGATCAGTACACGTTAGAAGGGAGAAATTATAAAGGAATTACAAGTGATGTAACAGCCAGCATAACTGGGAGGCAAAAGCAGAGTCATTAAAAAAAATGCTAACCAGCAGCTAATAGTGCTGTACAGAACCATTGATTTATACATCCTGAAGCTTAGCATCTAGAGATCATTGTACAGGATCTCATGGACCTATTGAGAATTGCAGGAAAGCACCCTCTTCATGTTAAGGAAGATCTTAGTGGTTTCTGGTTTAATATTTTAAAATGTTATGTTCTAATAGTTTATATTATATTCAAATGTTATTGTAACATGTAATTCCTTTATAATATTTTGACCTTTGTTAAATATTACAATCAAGTTATTTCATTTTATGTTTGTTGAACATACATGTTCTGCTAGAGGCTAGAGACTCTTCTAGAGATTCTTAGGATACAAAAGTGGGAAAAAAAGAATCATTCCTTACCTGGAGTGCATATCCTAGCAAGGAGAGACAGACACAAACACAATAAACAGGCTTGTAACACTTTGAAGATAATAAGTGCTGCAGAAAGACCGGTAAGGAGGTCAGCAGTGCTTGTGTGCATCTGATCATACAAAATAATATTTTATCAAAATGAACTCCAGAAACGGAGGGCTTTTTTTTCTTTTTAGCTGCTTTTGTTTCCTTTATGTTGTTTGTTTGTTTATAAGTCCTTGGGAGTATATGGGGGGTGGCACAGAAATGGAGGGACAAAGGGTGAACAAATGCAACACTGCTACTCACTGGACACTGAACATGAGCCGCCAGCGCCCAGTAATAATTGTATTTGTTTGATGGTTAGCTTTGTCACTCTGCCACCCTTTTATGAATGCTCCATAAAAGCAAGGACTGACTCCATGATACCAAATAAGTGGGTATTTGATGTGCATTTGATGGAGCGCATGAATCCAAGACATCAGACTGCAGTCATTTTTCCAGAAATCATATGTGTGACAAACATGTTTATCTGTAAAATCAGATTTGGGGCTAGGGGTTTAGCACAACAGTAGGAAAAGCGATTGCCTAGTATGCACAAGGCCTAGTGATAGGTAAGTACATCATGTAGTGTGCAGCATTAGTTTGTCTTGAGTATGAGGTTCAGACAATTCTAAAGGGAGTGGGTTGTAATAAATCATGCCTACTTCATGTGCCTAGTCTTCTACATCTTCCTTTCAGCTTGTCTGTCACGTGACACAGCTGGCAGATCTGTCACTAGGGTTCTGTAGCTACCTCTCTACCTAGCAAAATCATGAACGAAATAAAACTTCTTTCCTTTGTAACTGACCTAAAATATGTTGTTAGAGCAACGTAGAATGAGGTAGTATAAGTGAGATTCAACATTTTTTTCAGAAAATAAACATTTTTCTTACTGTAGTTGAATTTTAAGACTTCTGAATACATATATATGTGTGTGAACCCATATTTCAGTGGATATCTTTTTTTTTTTTTTTGGGTCAGGTCGTGGGGCCTGAACTCTGGGCCTGGGCGTTGTCCCTAAGCTCTTCAGCTCAAGGCTAGAACTCTACCACTTGAGCCACAGCGCCACTTCCGGCTTTTTTCTTTTTGCTTATGTGGTGCTGAGGAATCGAACCCAGGGCCTCTGGCATGCAAGGCATGTGCTCTACCACTGAGCCACCTTCCCAGCCCTCAGTGGATATCTTTTGAAAAGTAAAATAAGTTTTAATGAAATCCAATATATCAGTTTGTTCTTTCATGCATTTAGCTTTTAGTGTTATTGTAACTAAGAAATCTCTCCCTATAAAAGTTTTTATACTTTAGGTTTAGGGTTGTAGCTCAGTGCAGGACATTTACTTGATATGTGCAGGGAACTGGTTTTGATCTCTCCTGCTTTTGTATCTTCAGATATTATGTTTTCTGTAAGGTATTTTTGCTGGATTACATGTGTTATGAGGATTTTCCTCAGTGTAGCTAGCTGTCCACCAAAAGTGAAAACAGATTATCCTTTTTCCTCAGTGAATTACTTTTGATATATATTTTTTTTTGGGGGGGGGGGTCTGGTCGTGGGTCCTGAGCTCTGGGCCTGGGCGCTGTCCCTCAGCTCTTCAGCTCAAGGCTAGCGCTGTACCACTTTAGCCACAGCACCACTTCCGGCTTTTTTCTTTTTGCTTATGTGGTGCTGAGGAATCAAACCCATGGCCTCATGCATGCAAGGCAAGTGCTCTACAACTGAGCCACCTTCCCAGCCCCTACTTTTGATATTTATTGAAAATAACATGTGGATCTAGTTGCTGACTTTTTTTTTTTACTGAGTTTATATGTCTACATACTAAAACATGCTTTATTGTCTCATTTTACAGTAAGTCTTTTAATTAGATAGTATAGGCTCTCCAACTTTGTTGTTTATTTTGGTGCTAGAATAAAAAATCTAGAATCTTAGATTTTCGTATAAAATTTAAAATGTGCCTTTTGATTTATATTATTTAGAAGCTTGGGTTTTTATTGGAATTACTCTGAATCTAAATATCATTTAAGGGAGAATTGATATTTTAACACTAATGAATCTTTGAAGCATGAATGTAGCGACTCTCCATGTAAGTAGATCTGTTCACCAACTCCTTTCCCCTTTCCAGTATTATTTCAAATTTAATTCTAGACCTAATTTCAATGGTAAATATTTATGTATATATCTCTAGTATTTCTAAATGATGTGCACTGTTACTATATTACAATATGTTATAACTAAAATTTTTTTTTTGGTCGGTCATGGGCCCTGAACTCTGGGCCTGGGTGCTGTCCCTCAGCTCTTCAGCTCAAGGCTACCACTTGAGCCACAGCACAACTTCCAGCTTTTTCTGCTTATATGGTGCTCAGGAATCGATCCCAGGGCCTTATGTACGCAAGGCAAGCACTTTACCACTGGGCCACCTTCCCAGCCCCTATAACTAAAATTTGACCATCCATTCCTATTAAGCTGTCTAGTAGTAAAAGTTCAAATTTGTCTGGTTGTATAAGTTTTTACATAATTAAGAAAAGTATCCAGAACATAAATTCCTAGAAACAGCATGTAGGGATATTGTTTAGAAATATGGAAACAAATTCTAGGAAAAAGATAGTTGAAAGAATTGAAAGTGCCTATCCCTGGAATGTGGACTTTGATGTAAGGAGAGGCTGGACAGAAGAATGTGGAGTTTGATTACAGAAACAAGAGACTCAGATAGTACAGTGCCCCCACCCTCCCTCCTTTATGTCAAGTGCTGTGGGGAAGTGAACTCTTTGCCGAAAGAACAAGGGATTTAGTCCTCCAGGAGGAAATCTGAACCCCAGTTCTCAAAACTGTCTTTGGGGTTCCCACATTTATCAGGAAGGGGTTGTAACCTCAGAAGTCAGTTAACTCCTTGAGTTTACTCATCTGCAAAACGAGGAGGGAATGTCAGTAAGTATTAGGCATGAATGATTGGTATATAGTACCAACTCAGTAAACATTAGTTTTTGTGGTTATTTCCTGAAAACAAAACTCACTCATTCCTGGGCCTTGGGAAAGACCAGATCTATCTAACATTGACAGAGGCCATGGTGTTATAATGGAGCCTTGCTTTGACATTCTCTCAGCTATCCTCAACCTCGCCTGTCCTCTGCGCCCCCTCTCCTCCCCACCTACCCAGGACTCTGCCAAGAGCACTTGTTCTGTCCCTGGAGTTGTCCAGGGACAGTTGTCAGTCTTAGAAGTGAAGGAGAGGGGACAGAAGGGGACAGATGGTGTTAGGGCAGGACTTGTACCCACTTCAGCCAGGAAAAGTGTCTCCAGAGAGGAGAGGAAGTGGGAGGAGTCCAGGAAGCACCACGCTGGAGAAACCAAAGTCCCTTCCATGGCTGCCTGGGCCTGGGAGCTGCTGCTCCAGCTGCTGCAGCTGCTCTCCGCTGGGGCCACAGCTGGGCGGTGGAGAGGGGAGGGCACCAGCCCGCATCTGCAGAGCATCTTCCTGGGCCGCTGCTCAGACTACAAGCTGCTGAACTCCGACACCCGGTGAGCCCCGGTGGGCTGGGGGGACCGGGAGGACGTGTGTCCTCACAGGAGGCAAGTTTTATGGGACAGACAGTCGCTGGAGGGATGTGGGTTTACAGGTGGGGAAGGAGCTGCACAGGTTCAGTTGCATTGCAGGTCTAGGTGTGTGTGTGTGTTGTGTGTGTGCGCGCGTGCGCACTTTCAGAAGCAATTTTGAAAGACAGCCCTTTGCCAGTCCACACCCGCATAGTTCCACCCACAGTGGAATTATCTATGTCAGACCTTGTCCCGTGGAACTCAGATCCTCTTCCCACAGGCCTTTAAGGTTTTCATCTTTCTTGCCCAGGCCATGTTTCTTACTGATTTTTCTTCTTCTCCTGGATTCCGTTCTATCCTATTTTTTTGCTTAGTGTTTTTTCTTGTGCTACTTTTTGTCGTGATGCATTTTAAGCAAGTGAATCAGAACAGAGAATAACATAGGAGCAACTGAGCTATTATCAGAAGCTGACAGAGGAGTAGGCTGTGGTTTTGAAAGTGGGCAAGGACCTCAGCAGTGAACGCGGGCACTGGTGGGCATACCCTCTGCCTCACTAAACAAGAAGCTCTGCCCAGCACCTGGTGCTCACTCGTAGGAGCCCAAGTCTTGCCTGCTGGCCTGGTCTCATCTTGTCCCAAGCCCCTGGTGGATCTGGATAATGGGCCCCAATCTGAATTGAATTAAGAAGGTCCGGGGGCCAACTCAGTGGTAAAACCCCTGCCTAGCATGGGTAAGGCCTTGGGTTCCATCCCCAGCATGGCAAGAGAAGCAAGACAAAATTAAACTCCCTGACAGGAAGAGGGAGAGCGAATGAGAGAATGGGAGAGAAAGACAGGGAGAGGGAGAGAAAGCGAGAAAGAAAGAGGAATGAGAGAGAAAGGACATAGAGAAACAGAAACTAAAAAAGCGCCTGAATTTCAAAGGCTATATGGTTTCTTAAATGTTGTCGCTTTGCAGCTTGATACCTCTTCTGTTTACCTTGTCAGTCTCAGACAAGGCTATATGACTTAGTTCTGAGAAATCTATGCAGCACTTTCTGACAGCAACTTCCTGTATCCTATTGCCAAATCCATACTTGAGCCATCACAGCTTGTTTTCTTGCTTTTGTAGGGATTGAACTCAGAGCCTGGGCACTGTCCCTGGGCTTCTTTTGCTTAAGATATCACTTCCGGCTTTTTCTGAACAGTTTTTTAGGAGAGATGAGTCTCAGACTTTCCGGAATGGGCTAGCTTCAAACTGTGATCCTCAGGTCTCAGCCTCCTGAGTAGCTAGGATTATAGGTGTGAGCCACCTGTATCGGGCAGCCTGAGCTTGTTTTCTACATCGTGTGTGTTTGTGTGTGTGTGTGTGTGTGTGTGTGTGTGTGTGTGTGATGATACTGGAGTTTGAACTCAAAACCTTCCCCTTGCAGGAGGTACTCAACCACTTGAATCATGCTTCAAGTCCTTTGGCTATACTTATTTTTTCGAGTAGGATTTTGTCTTTATGCCCAGATGGCCTGGACCATCATCTTTCTAGTTATACTTCCCATGTAGCTGGATAACAGGGACATGCCACCCAATTTCCATTTGTTGAGAAGGTGACTTGCTAGTGCTTTGCCCAGGCTGGCCTCAAACTTTGATCCTCCCAGGCTCCACTTCCTGAGTAGCTAGGATTACAGGTGTGAGCCATCGTGTCTAGCCTTTTCTAGTTCTATAGTAATGGAAATATGTCATGACACATCATGATGTTTCTTCTTTTTTTTCTTTTTTCTTTTGGACATATTTGCACAGGACCAAGAACTGCACGGCTATCTGGGAAGCCTTTCAAGTGGTGCTGCACAAAGATCCCTGCTCTGTGCTTCCCTCAGACTATGACCTTTTTATTAACCTTTCCTGGCACTCCATTCCCCGGGACAAGGTAACTGACTAAGCCACTTCAGATAAATCCTTACTCTTCCTCTGTGGAGGAAAATGATACCAGGCTGGGCATGAGGTCAGCTGCCCTACGCATCCCGCAGTGTTACTGAGACATCAAGCAGCAAATGCACCATGTGCATGTCGACCTGTCTGGTGGCAAGGCAGCTTTGTTTCTAATATTCCCTTGGATCTGCTGCCCAGATGTGACCTAAGTCAGCAGGTCTCTGTAGGAATCACTACAGGGAACTCAGGACATTGCCCGACCTTTGACACCAGGCCTCCAAATCTGACCAGTGTAATCTCTATTCCACTTGGTCTTATAGCTTGCATCTTGAGCAATTCACATGCCTTAAATGTTAGTACCCTCCCAGAACAACAAGCTCTCTTTTGGATGGATCTCAATATTATGTTTATTTACTCTCAGTTTCTTTAAGAAAGCTATGTCTATATTATATTTACATCCTAAGATGGAGTGAAAAGAAAATAAATGACTCAGAGGTTGAAGGGCCATAATTTGAGGCCAGGCTGAACAACATTAACAAGAGACTCTATTTGAATGGCAGAGGAGAGACAACCAAAGCCAAAAGACTGGGAGCCCGGCTCAAGTGGTGCAGTGCCTGCCTCGGAACTATACCACCCTGCTTTCAATCTCCAATGAAGAATAAAGAGAAAAGTTAAAAAAAATTAAAGGCTTGATGTAATTCTTCTTAAACTGATTTTTCCATGGTGTATTATAGTGAAAATCAAAGACATAATAGATTGAAAACAAGATTTCATGGTATATGTTGCATTCTATGTTGTCATTTAAAAATATAAGTTGCTGTCTTCCTGTTGAAAAAAAAACCAGGAAGCGTAGGTTCTGTTCTCTCTAGATTTGGTGGATTAGGCGCTGAACCCAGCACTTACCAGGCAGCTTTCTGTGCATCAGGCATTGTGCTAAAGGTTAAGAATACAATAGTGAGCCAGGCACTTGTGGCTCATGCTTATAATCCTAGCTACTCAGGAAACTGAGATCTGGGGATCATGGTTCAAAGCCAACCAGGACAAGAAAGTCTATAAGATTCTTACCTTCAATTAACCATCAAAAAGCCAGAAATGGACCTGTGACTCAAAGTGGTAGAGGACAAGCCTTGAGTACAAAAGCTCAGGGACGGGCTGGGATGTAGCTCAGTGGCAAAGCGCTTGCCTAGCAAGTGCAACGTCCTGGGTTCGATCCCCAGTACCAAAAAAGAAAAGACAAAAAAATACAGTTAAAAAAAAAAAAAAAAAAACCCAAACAACAAAAGCTCAGGGACAGTGCTCAGGCCCTGAGTTCAAGCCTTAGGACTGACAAATAAATAAAAAGTAAATAAAATAATGTAATATTGAAAAACAGCTCCGGGACACCTACCAGTCTAGATAGTGACTGGACTATAGAGGTTCTGGCTAGACAATATCATGGAATATTATCATATCTATTATTACATTAAACTGTCACTTACAGTAGAAATTATAAGGTATACCCTAAGAGTAATCTCATTTTCAGGCACTTTCTACTCTAAGAAGTCTGTTTGTCATTTCCTATCCACTCAAGCACAGAAAGCATTCAGTCTCAATTTTCAGGTATAGAAGATGAAAAGAGATTATATGCCTCCATCACAATCCCACAATCATCACACAACAGAGCCAGAATTCCAGCCCAGATGCCCTGATTTTTTTTTTTAATACAAGGATCTTACTCCTTTACATGCGTTTTATGCTACATGGAACACCTTGTGTTAACATAGACATAAGACCCTTAGACCGAAAAGAGGGAAGAGGGTAGCAACTTTGAACAAAAGTCAAAAGGAAAGTGCAGTCAGTCTGCAGCTGAGCGACGAGTTGCCTGTCTCATACGGACACTGTGCCTGAGGAATCTGCTCTTATTTTATATACTAATTTTTGTTTGGTTTTCCTTAGTCCCTGTTCTGGGAAAATAACCACCTCCTTGTCATGAGCTATTCAGAGAATGCCCGTCGCTTTATGCCCCTATGCGATGTGCTGTATGGCAGAGTTGGGGACTTCTTGAGCTGGTGTCGACAGGAAAATTCCTCTGGTAAGACCCTTATACACATCATGAGAAAAATATGAGCTTCACTTTCCTGTGCAGTTACCATCTGAGCTGTATCCTTTCATATGCCTTTACGTCATTTGCTCTATCCAAATCCTCAGCAGTACTGCAACAGTAGAAGTGATAGTAACAATGAAGGCAGTACATACCTTTTCCCAGACACTTGTTTATGTACTTTATATTTACTGATGTCTTTATGATCTACAATATCCAAGTGGGATCCTCCAATTATCCTTATTTTGACTAATAAGGAAACTGAGGCACAGAAAGATGAAAGAAGTCGCTTTGAAGTGTGTAAGTAGTTAGCTTCAGAGTCTCAGCGTGTAACTACAGAGCCTGAGCTCCCAATCCAGCTCAACTCTGCCTTTTAACCCTCGTTTTACAGATGAGGAAATTGAGGCCTGGGGCGCTGAATGACTTGTGTACATTGTACAGAATGTAGGATAACTATGGAGTTTAAATCAATGCTTCCTTGTCAGAGTCTTTAAAAGGAAATATGCGAATCTGTTTTTCTCTTAGAACCTGATTACCAATCCTGCCCCACATCAGAAGACTGTGAAAACAATCCTGTGGATTCCTTTTGGAAAAGAGCATCCATACAGGTAATCCTAGGATTAATGACTTGGGTGCCTGTGAAACCCATGAACTTAGAGGTTCAGAAATGGAAACCCAAGAGGTCATTACTTATATCTGTGAACCTCACTTTCTGCTTTTACAATATCCTGATTTGTTTTCCCTGGTCTGTAATGTTATCAGGATTTAAGGAGAGAAAATACTTTCTGTACTGCCTAGTACAGAAAAAGCATTAACAAATGTTAGCTATTGCTAAGGAATTGCACAATTGCTATTACTTCTATTTTACTAGGGTTGTATTTAGTCTTTCAAGTCAATCTGACCCTTTTGTTGCCTTGAAAAGTGGGGGAACTCTTCATTTCATGGAAGGCCACGGGATACTGGAGAATTAGATGTGGGTGTTAGACATGTCCACACACTAATAACCAGAGGAGAGGAGGTGAGAAAAGATGCAAATAAGCTAGAGACACAGAAATTGTGTCCTTAATGTAGATCTGCTCCCCAGAGAATATTGTCACTGGAGTAGATAAGCTGACAGTAGCTATGAAATGCCAGAGCTATAGTCTGTTTAAGGCTACAGCTTATGTTCTCTTTTTCTAGGGTTAGAATGAAGAGGGGTTGCAGGGTCCTGGTGGCTCATGCTTATAATCCTAACTACGCAGGAAGCTGAGATTTGAGGATGGAGGTTTGAACCTAGCCTGGGCAAGAAGCCATTAGACTTGTATCTCCAATTATCCACCAACAAACCAGAAGTGAAGCTAAGGCTCAAGTTGTAGGCTTGTTGTCTACAACTGAGGCCTGCACTTCCTGCCCCTTGAAGTTAGTTACAACGACTTACAGGAACCAATGACATATAATGGAAATGACGCATGTGGCCTGTGTGGCAAGGCCTTTAAAAACTGGCCATGACTTGTTGTCTTCCTTTTATTCTTTCCTGACAATCAGCAACTTTGTAAATGTGGAAATTTCTTCAGCTTGGGGCAAAGTAAGAACACACAACCAGCAAAAGCCAGGGGCCTGTGGTAAACGTTAGCATGAGCATTACATTGGTCTTCCTTGTTTGAAGCCGCCACTGTGATTTTAAGGCTGTGTGTCTTGGCAGCTTACCTAGTTTATTCCCTCGGATAGGATGTTGTATGCTTTGTATCATCTTCATAATGTTAGGTGTCAGACATGGAATTACTCGGCCTGAGTTTTCAACATTTGGAAGCAATTTGCTTCTCCAAATATAATCATCTTGTCTCCCTATTACCTATGTGAAATGCTAGACTTGCCCACATTGAGCATTGTTGATATAAAACCAAAACTCATTACCTAGCAGAAAAACGACATATCTCCTTTTACTCAAAATACTTTTTCTTCTTGCAGTATTCCAGGGATAGCTCTGGGGTGATCTACGTCATGTTGAACGGTTCTGAGCCATTGGGAGCCTATCCTACCAAAGGGTGAGAACTCCAGCACTTGTTACAGAATGTTTACTCAGTTGCTTTGAAGGAGGCTAAAGAGAACTGTGCTAATCCTCAATCTAATGTGTGCTTTTGTAAATACACATGAAGAAAATTAAACGATCTGGGGATTAAAGCTATGTCTACATAATTAAACCATTTATAGTGGATTGAATGCATGAACAAGTAACCTGAAAATAAAAGTATAGGAGCTAACAACTAAAATGGAAAAATATCCCATTACTTTAGGATTTAAAGAAATATCTTCTTAGGCTGGAGATTCTCTGACTATTAAAAGAAAAAATATATGTGTGTGGTTATATATATAAAATATATACACTATATATGTATATATATGTATATATATATATATATACATATATATATATATTTCTTCCCTGTCTCTCAGATTTTTTGCAGATTACGAAATTCCATACTTCCAGAAACATAAAATCACCCGATTTGAAGTCTGGGTCATGCATGAAATTGGAGGACCATATGTGTAAGTTGTGGTGCTATGGATGAGGGTAACTGTGCAAACATGCTTTTTTTATATCATATGATCGGTTTTGTGGAAATTCCAGCCTTCTCTGATGCTACCATGATTGTAGAGGCTACATTTTCTGGGAATACCAGTAGCTAGTCCTAAGCCCGGGGAGAAGAGCTTTTTTATTTGGCAAATTCTCAGCTAGAGAACACAGGGTTCCTTTCTAAGTGACAGGACAGCTTTGGATAGCTGTGGACATTGGTGAGAGCCAGTCTCCTTTTCTCGTTTTGTGAAACCAGAAAGCCCTCATCAGGGTTTTCATGATCAACCCAGAGACTCTCTGATAAAGACTTTATTCTCAGGGAGCCATCAGCCTCCACAGGGAGGTCTCAGATTCGTGGTCAAGGACTCTTGGAAGATGCATGTTTTCTAGGAGATCACTAGAGTTTATTTACAAATACAAGTGTGAGCTTGTGTTTTCTCACCAGTGAAGGGTACTTCTGGCACAAACTCAAGATACAAAAGCTAATCTACTTGGTTCATAGCCTATTGAAAACCAAGCAACCATGGAGGAACTTTGCTGCATGCTGGGCCTTGTTCTTAGGAACATGGTGCTACATGGAGAAGAGTTTTGCCAAAGCAAGTTGAGGATGTTCCATTGAATATGTGGATTCTAGAAGCTCTGTTTCTACTCTTCAGACTCTCCATATACTGGGCATTATTATTGCCTGTCTCTTGGGCAACAGATTGCAGTCAATTCGCAAGTTATTTATTACATGAGTTGTGTCATATGTCTCTTGAGCAGTTGCAGAAAATTGGCAAACCACTAATTACATAAGTTGTACCAACATCTCTGTTTCTCTTCCCAGAAGACAAATCCCCCTTATTGTTATATTTTTATGAGCAGTTCTTTATATAGAAGTTATCTTTGCTTGTTGTTTCAATTTTTTGGTTATAGAAAGTTGTCCTTTGAAGCTACCAGGATTAAAAATCTACAATTCATCAGTGTCTCTGCTCAACATTTCTGATAAAGTAGAGGTTCCAAAGGGTACCTCACTGTTACATTTGAACCACAAGTTAGAGTTGTTTGCAGGTCATGAGCTAAGAAAGTAGTGTCTTGGACTGTTCAGGTTTTAGAGGGAATACTTGGGGACTATAGTTAATAATGTTTTAATATAGTTAGTTCATAATATTTTATAGTTAATATTTTTTGTGCCAGTGAACTCGGGGACTGGGTGCTGTCACTGAGCTTTTGTGCTCAATGTTAGTGCTCTACCACTGGAGTCACTGCGCCACTTCTGGATTTGTTTTTTTTTTTCAATATAAAAGCCTCACATTCTAGATGTTGGTGGCTCATGCCTATAATCCTACTTACTCAGCAGGCTGAGATCTGAGGAGTACAGTTCAATGCTAGCCCAGGCAGGAAAGTCCATGAGACTCTTATTTCCAGCTAGCCACCCCAAACAAAAGTCAGTAGTGGAGCTATAGCTCAAGTAGTAGAGTGCTAGCCTTGAGCAGAAAAAGCCCAAGGAGAGCACCCAGGCCCTGAGTTCAAGGCCCAGAACCAGTGTACACACACACACACACACACATACACACAACACACACACACACACACACACACACACACACACACACACACACACACACACATCTCATGGGGTTTTTCCTGCCTGGGCTGGTTTTGAACTGCAGTACTCAGATCTCAGCCTCCTGAGTAGGTAAGGTTACGGTGTGAGCCACTGGCGCCCAGCTTGTGTTACAGATTATTGTTAAATGAGTATATTGTGGCTGTTCTTGTCATAAAATGAAACTCTGTGAGTTACTAGGTTTCTTAATCTCTTTCAATATAGTAACTAGTTTACCGCATTTACAAAATTAAACTGCCTCTTCAGCAGAAAGCAGAAGATAGCATAGTTAATATTGGTTATGTTTAGCATGACTTTGGCAGTCTTTACTAAACAAACTGTAAAACAATGGCCTCTGGGCTCTTTTCTGTGTCTAGGAGCATCTGTGTCAAAACTGTAAAATAAATAAATAAATCCTAAGCACTAAGCTTTCCCAGAGAAGGGCATTGTCTCAGGTCTAAAAAAAATGTTCTCAGTACTGTGTCCTCCTCATTCCTGTAATGCCGGTTGCTCATTTTCTCCTTCCACATTGCCTCTCTATCACTTTGGTGAGGAGGCTGTTTATCTTTCCACTCCATATAACCTGGGGCAGGACTCTGCCTTTTAGCCATGAATAACAGTGCTATGTCTACCATGGTACAAATCCTCTTTACTTAAGTCTGTCTATGGAAGGCAAGAATCAATATGGCTGAGAGTGTGAAAAAGACCACCCCTCCATCCTGCACCTAGAACTGCACATGAAGAGATTTAAAAACCTTGGTGCTAGAAAACCTTTTTTTTTTTCTCTTTTTTTTGGTACCAGCCATGGGGTTTGAACACAGGGCTTGGGTGCTATCCCTGAGCTTTTGTGCTCAAGGCTACTCTATCCTGTAAGCCACCTCAGGCTGTACTTTCTACTTTTGCCAGCTAATTGGAGATCACAGTCTCATAGATTTTCCTGCTCTGACTGGTTTCAAACCACGATCCCCAGATCTCAGCCACCCAAGTAGCTAGGATTTACAGAAGTGAGCCACTGCTGCCCCAGCCCCAGAAAACCTACTTTTAGGAATTTATGACAAGGATACAAGTAACTAAGAATGCATATGAAAATGAAGTTTCAATAGATGTTCTTGTAGTATCAATGGCTTTGAAACATATGAATCAACCTTCAAAGGAGGGAATTGTTGGTATGAGTTATGTATGGCCTGTTTACATAAGAAAGATACATATTCAGGGGGGGAGGGGGGAGGCTGGGAAGGGATGTGAAGGGTAAACAAAGGAGGAGGCTGCAATGCTTGGTAAGAAATGTACGCATTATCCTGCCCATGTAACTGTAACTCCTCTGTACAGTATGTTCACAAATAAAATTAAATTAAATTAAAAAAAAAAAAAGAAAGATACATATTCAGGACAGACATATACACACAGGGGTTTTAGACAGATATGGGTTACAACAAAAAGCCACCAATACATTTGGAATGATTTATAGGAACAGATAAATTTTAAAACTCTAGAACAGGATAGAGAAGTCCCCTTGTATCTGAAGGCTGCTACCTTTGGTGGGAGCTTGCAATTGTAAGCCGTAGCCAGCCCCGCTACATGGATTGTTTTTTTTCCCCTCTACACACACACCTATATTATACATAGCACTTTTAGGCAGATTTCCAGTGACAGTGATGAAATATCTAAGACAAACATCTTAAGGAGAAAAGGTTGCTTTAGGCTCTCTGTTTTAGAGCTTTCACTCTACATCTTTGACCACTTTGGCTCTGACCACGAGGCGAGGCAGAACTGTAAATGACAGGCATGTGGGTGTGGCTTCTTATCTCATGGCTGCCATACAGCAGAGACAGGTCTTAGGAAAGACATAGCACTATAAGGACATATCTCCAATCCCTTGGGGCTACTGCCTCAGCGAGGCCCCAACTCCTCAAGTTTCCAGTACTTCCCCAAATAGTACTGAGCTGGGAAACAAACTTTCAATATAGGAGTCTTTGTTTGATTGATTGTTTGTTTGTTTGAGAGGGGGCACATTATATCAAGACAGAGGCTCCAGTGAGATTGCAAAACCTTCTTTTCCTGTGGCCCTGCTATTTGCTGCCCACATGGCCTCTGTCTTGGCCTGGCTCCGCTCATTGCCTGTGGCTTTCCTTGTCCGACCTTCTACATTCTTGGCATTCCAATTTCCTTTAATGGTTAGTGTAGCCTAGGTTTCTCTTTCATAACATTGTATGGTTTCTTGAGGGCTTTCCACGGGGACTCCAATATTGCAACACATTGCTTGGCTTCCCTGATTTTTCTCTGAAATCTGATTGGAAGCCCCCATGACTCCATAAGTTGTATTTTGTGTGTCTGTAAAAACAGCATCTTGTGTATGATGCCTACAATGCTAATGTTTGCCATCACTTTTACTGTAAATCTTAGCAACTTTAGGTATGATTTCCCACCTCCTCTCTCTGTGCCATTGCTAGGGCTTAAAATCAAGCCCATATACCCTTGCTTGGCTTTTCACTCAAGGCTCGTGTTCTATCATTTGAGCTACACCTCCACTTAAATGGGGTTTGTTTTGTTTTTCTATTTTCCTTTCCTAAGGAAGTACTTCACAGCTTCTCTCTGGCATATCTAAACCTCCAACATTACTAGACTTGTGCTTTGGAGCCATTAAGTAAAATGAGAATTACTTGAAAAACAAGCGCTGGTTGATCTTATAAGAAAAATGGCTACTCAATGCCTCATGGACAGAAAAGTGTACACAGAGACAGTGGACAAGCAGGTGGTCCATATACTGTGTGACATAGAGAGGGCCACTAACAGTACTTACGCCCCCCTTCAGACTCCATTATAATGACATCATTCTTCATGCTGCTTGGAATACTGTACAATTTAAAATATATGGGGCTTTATTTCTGGAATTTTCCACTTGGTCAACCATGGTATCATGGTTGACCGATACCATAGTGAGCACAGATGTGTGTAACTGTCTGTGAAAAGGTTAGCAGCAGGCATCTCTAGGGATGTGAGATATGGGGTTATTTTTTTCCTTTAATTTATTCACATTTTCTAACATTTAAAAATGTATAATTTTATTGTTGTTTTTACAGTGGTGTACAGAGAATTTGCCGCATAGGAGTCTGGTTCTTTTTGGACAATGCCACGCCTTCCTTCCCTTTGCCCTGGTTTCCCCCTCCCATCCCTGCCCACAAGTTACACAGTTTGTTTTCCACGTAGGGGTATGCTGAATACCATGACTGTATGTATTCATCCTTCCTCCCTCCCTTTATGTGCCCCCACCCGCCTCCCAAAGAGCAAGAATACCAGCAGCGGCAGCAGCAGCAGCAACAAAAAGCCATGTTACAGCCAGGCACTAGCGGCTCATGCCTGTAATCCTAGCTACTTAGGAGGCTGAGATATGAGGGTTGCAGTTTGAAGCCAATCCTGGCAGGAAAGTCTAAGAGACTTTTTTTTTTTTTGGGGGGGGGGTTCGGTCATGGGGCCTGAACTCTGGGCCTGGGCACTGTCCTCCACTCTTCAGCTCAAGGCTAGCACTCTACTACTTGAGCCACAGCGCCACTTCTGGCTTTTTTCTTTTTTTGCTTATGTGGTGCTGAGGAATCAAACCCAGGGCCTCATGCATGCAAGGCAAGCGCTCTAGCACTGAACCATCTTCCCAGCCCTCTATGAGACTCTTATCTCCAACAAACTACTCAGAAAAGGTCTGAAGCAGCGCTGTGGCTCAAGTGGTAGAGTGCTAGCCTTGTGCCAAAGACAGCACCCAGGCCTTTTTCTTGTTAAAGCCTAAAGTGAATACACCTGGAGCTGAGCAAACGTCACAGTTTGCATACTGCTGTGTGATGCTAGGGGTTGTAACTGTACATTGTGGGCATCGAGCATCCCTGGCTCTCCCAGCTCCAGACGCAGGGTTGTGTCTCAGCAATCCTCCACTGCATTCTGCAGCACCTTTTGGACCAGGGACTCTGTCAGGTTCCCTTTGAGAGAAGAATATCCAGGGGTATACAATCAAGAGAAATTTTATTTTATTTTTTTTGTATATATTTTTTTTATATTGTTTTTTGCCGGTCGTGGGGCCTGAACTCTGGGCCTGGGCGCTGTCCCTCAGCTCTTCAGCTCAAGGCTAGCGCTCTACCACTGGAGCCACAGCACCACTTCCGGCTTTTTCTGTTTATGTGGTGCTGAGGAATCGAACTCAGGGCCTCATGCTTGCAAGGCAAGCGCTCTACCACTGAGCTACCTTCCCAGCCCCAGTCAAGAGAAATTTTAGTTAACTTTGAACAACATCCTCCTCCTTTAACTTCTCACCACCTCCTCTTTCTTCTCCTCCACATCTGTTCCTTTTGTTGATTTTTAAAAAAAATATGTTTGTTTGTTTTATGTTTTAGGGAATTCTGTGGAGAGGGCAGTGTGAAAATCCTGGAAGACAGACTGAAGGCCATGGGATTCAAGTACAGCTGTATTAACGATTACCTGTAGGTGGCGCTACATATGACCAGTGCCGAATAAAAGGCACAATGGTGACTTTACAGGGGCTTGGAAGGGTTTTGTTGGTATCAGCTCTAAAGGCCATGGGGTTGTGTTTTCTGAATTATCCCTGGACATCCAGAAGATTGGCTCAGGGTGTAGCCTGGGTCCCTGCTTTCAGACGCCATTATAATGCCAGTGAAAGGATGCTCTCTGAATTGTATAATTTGCCCACACCCACTTTCCTCTTCTCATTGCTCTGAATATAACCAGAGGCTAGGGGCTATGGCTTCTGCAATTGTATTCTGTAGGAATCTTGCCTGTGAAAGGTGAGGAGGTGGGCAGGTGAGATTTTTACAGCTAGGTGAACCTTGAGCCAGTGAGAATGGCTGCCATGTATTACGTGCATGGAAACCCAGCACTTTTATACTTACACCTGGGCATCATTCCAGGGCAGTACTGCTTCTGGCACACTGAAGTAAGCTCGACTCTGACCCTGATGGAGTTGTAAGCCTGACCCTGGACTCAGACTTTCTGCCCCTGCTCCTCTCTGCCAGTTCAGGGGCTGGAGTGTGACATTGCATGGACTCAGTGGCTTTCTTGGACACTTAGAGATGTGTCAGCATGGCAATGACCAGTCTTCTTGCCAACGTCCAATACCATTCTGTGCCCTCTGCCTTCTGTAAAGCTGCATGCACTATGTAACTCTACCAAGCCAGGCCCAGTCTCCTGAAACTGGCATGTCTTCTCACCTTCCCAAGAGAAGTCACCCCTATAACAGCAGTGTTGTTATCTGTGTTATTTTGCCCATGTATTATTACTAAACCTGCAAGAAGCTCAAAGGCTAGGTTATTTATCACCACATTTTAAACCAAATCAAAGCAAATTGCATTTTCTACAAGTCTGACCTATGCACAGGAAAAAAGTGCACTAACTTAAGTATGCAGTTGGATGAATGTTAACAAATGCAAGGCACTGCAGCTCTCAGATAATGCAGAACATAACCAATGTCTCCCTAGACCTCACTCTGGGTCACCTCTCTGTAGAAACCTTGGTCTGTCCCTGTAGTGACAACTCTCTAAAGACTTATGATGTCTTAGGTTCATTTTGTCTGTCTTGAAGCTTTTGTAGATATTCCTGTTTGATGGTTGAGTCAGAAAACTCAACTCTAGGTGGCCTAAGGATGATAGTTAGGAGCAGAACATCATATGGTCTTGAAGCATGTCTTTCCTTCCTTGTATGTACCAAGCTCCAACTTCCTGAATCAAAGTATTGAGTTTTAGCAGATTTTTTTGGGTTGACTTTATTTTTGTACGTGTGTGATGGTTTAGGGGGTGGAACTCAGGGCTTTGTGGTTGCTAGATAAGTGCTTTGCCACTTGAGCCACACTTCCAACCCAGCAGATTTTTTTAAACAAATGATTCTTACTCTGAAACAACTCAATGTTGGAGAAAAATTGTGCCTAAAAGAACTCCAGAGTTACCACCTTGAAGGAACTCCCTCTAAGTGGCTATCCTTTAAGTCACAAGGTGAAGTGATAGTAGCCAGGTTGGAGTCCAGGGTCTCTTTCTGCCTTGGAGTTGCCCTGAATCTCAACCTGTGTTTCTTCCTCTCTGGCTGACAGTGTTTCCTTCTCAGCTGGCTGTGGACTCTCCTCTTCCTGGCCTGACAATTCACCCTGGTTCTCATTCCTTTTAGTTTTTAGTTGTTATGGTAAAGATGATACACAGTGGGATTAGTTACACAATGTGTACATTGCTTTCAGAACAGTGTCATCCCTTCCTCATTTTCTCCCAATTTTCCCCTCCCTATCCCCTCCCTACAAGTTGTGTAGTTCACTTTCAACATAGTGTCTAGTGAGTATCACTGCTGCATTTGTTCACCCTTTGTCCCTCCATTTCTGTCCTCCTTACCTTCCCCCAAACAGATAAACTTACATACACAAGATATAGAAATCAAAAACAGTGACAACGGAGGGAGGAAAAGCAAAATAACAAAAAGCCTCTTGTTTCCATTTCTTGGAGTTCATTTTGATGAATACCATTTTATAGGATCATATGCACATAGCTATTGAGTCCTTCTGATCCTCTCCTAAGACTATCCTCCTTTGGTCTTACTGTGTGAATGCCCAGAGTCCTGTATAATTGATCGTGTCCCGTTGTATTTTATCTTTTACTGTCCAGTATGTTTGGTTCTCATCACAGGCTGAATTAAGGAGTTTGTTTGTGGTATTTAAATTCTTGTTCTTATTATTTCATTATTATTTTTAAAATTGCTTCTGGGAAACAGAGAAGATATAACAAAAGGCAAAGGGCTAAAGTTTAACAAACCAAACTCCAACCAGATATGAACAAGAAATTCTTGCCCCTCAAAATTCAGGCAGCATTGCCCTCTCTACTGTATTAATTGAGCTGCCCAGGAATACAGAGACCAGAAAGTTCTGAATCTCATGGAAGAAAGAATTCAAGGACAGACATGGAGGAGATTTAAGCAGGAGCAGATTTATTGATTCAGATGCAAGTAAAGCTTAAGTGCTCTCTCCAGACAGCTTTTATTAGGGGCCTGAGGAAATAGTCTTCTGTCTAGGAAAGCTGGGTTAATTCATCATTAACTCCTGGAAACTGAGTTATTGATCATCAGCTCCTCCCATAGGTCAGGTGGAGATATTCTAGGCCTTGGGTGGTTAGAATCAGACTCATTCTCCATGGGCGCAGATCAGCCTGCCCCTGCTGTGTGTGAAGTCATTCCCTGAACATCAGCAGTTCAGGATTGGTTCCTTATCCACACCCACGTCATCACTTACAGCCATGAGGTTTTCTGATTCCCTACTTAATTTCTGAATCAGAAAGCTCTCTCCAGGATGCTGTCCTCGGTGCAGCCTTTTCACAGTTGCCCTTGCCTCTTGGTTGTTTTCCGCTAATACTGTATTGAACCCGACTCAGTGAAAACTCACCCATTTAGGGCACATAAAATAGTAAGGACTCTCATATACACATATCTGAGAGTACACCTGTAGGCCTTCTACTCATGAAGCTGAGGCAGGAAGAGTGCTTGAGCTCAGTGTGAGAGATCTCCCTGCCAACGGCGTGTACGTAATAGAGAAGGTGAACCCAAGGGGTCAGCACGCAGCACGCTGCTGAGTGTCAGGATTTCCTGGCTGTTCATCTGAGTCCTGTCCAGCTATTCTGCCACAGAGCTCCTGTCTGGCTGGCCCTTCCATCAAGACCTGTGTGCTACGGCCTCCTGCTACCATCTCCACTGCTGCTCTCCCTTCATTCCTGGCTGGCTTGGAACTTCAAATCTTTCTCTTTGATCAGAGTAGTTGAGCCTTTTTGGCTGAATCTTGAACAGTGGGAACTGTGTATTTCAAGTCCAGTCTTTGGCTCAAAGGATTTATCAAGAAGCTTTTCCAAAGTCGTATGTGTAAGCCGAGGAAGCTCAGGGTCTTAGCCAGCCTTCAAGGTTCAAGTGCAGCCTTCCAACTGACTGCTTTGAGAACTTGAAGAGGTTGCTGTGGCCAGAACTCTGTATGTAAATCGGAGCTGAAAATAGTATCGATTCCATTTGGTTGTTGTAAGATTAAAGGACCTGCTTGTGCAGATTACACAATCAAGTTTCTTAGTACACAGTAAATGTTCAATAAATGGTAGCTAATTTTTTTAAAAATTTATGTTTGGTAGCTAAGATTTTTAAATGAATAGTGTGTATGTTAGGACAGACACTTTCTATTTCCATGACTTTTCAGGCACATCATAAATGTTTGATAGGATGGACGCCATTTAAGTAACACCTTGATTTTTTTTTTTTTTTGTAGACCAGTGAAGCTCTTAAAGTGTGTAGATCACAGCACTCACCCCGACTGTGCCTTAAATTCGTAAGTAAATATCTTAACTCAAATCCCTTTTTTTCCCAAGATCCTTAGAATTATAGAACACTGGTGAATTGCAATATGACTGAATAACAGCACTAAAGAGTAGCTGCACAGTAGAGTTACTTCTTCTGCCCTGCTCCCCTGCAGACTTGAACTGGGGGTTGGTGCAAGTGTCTGGACATGTGTGAGCCACATCCCAGGTCTGGGAGCAGAGGTGGCCCCATGCCATTATTTACTTCTGCAGTACTTGTTTCAGTGGAAATCCTAGGAGAAATGCAGAGGAAGACTTTTTAACATTTATTTCCAAATCCTCATTTGAATTTTTATTACGCTTTTTGAAAAGTTTACATATATATGTGTATGTATATAAAGAGAGAGATATATGTATGTATCATCAGACAAAATTCAAAATTATGAAAGAGTCAAGGGAGGCTGCAATCTCTCTTCTGCTTTTCTGAGTCATTCTATTCTCCTACCTTGAGGTTTCTAGTTTCTTGTGTATTCTTCCAAAGTGTGTGTGCCAAGAAGACTATAACCACAGGTATGTGATTACACTCACTGTTCCCCTATGCTAGTCATAATAAACAGTAATAGACCACCAGGCACTGGTAGCCCACACCTATAATCCTAGCCTCACTCAGGCTGAGATTTGAGGATAGATCATGGTTCAAAGCCAGCCCAGGCAGGAAAATCCGTGATACACTTATCTCCAATTAACCACCAGAAAACCAGAGTGGAGCTATGGCTCAAAGTGGTAGAGCACTAGCCTTGAGTGAGAGGTCAGGGGCAGCCCCAAAGCCCTGAGTTCAAGCCCCACGACTGACAAAAATTAATTAATTTAATAGCAATCTACGTAGGATTTTCTGTTTTTTGTTTTTTTCTTTTACTTAACAACATGTCCTCAAGCTAGTTCCATATGTTTGTTAAAATAACTTTTATCAGTTGAGTGCTGGGTGGCTCAAGTCTAAGATCCTAGCTACTCAGGAGGCTGACAATTAAGGATCAAGGTTTGAAGCCATCCAAGGCAGGAAAGTTTGTGAGGCTCTTATCTCCAGTTAATTACCACAAATCTGGAAGTGGAAATGTGGCTCAAGTGGTTAGGAAAGTTTGTGAGACTCTTATCTCCAGTTAATTACCACAAATCTGGAAGTGGAAATGTGGCTCAAGTGGTAGAATGTCAACCTTGAATGAAAAAGGCAAGTGAGAATGCAAGGTCTCAAGCTCAAACCTATAACACACACACACACACACACACACACACACACACACACACACACACACCAATACTGGCACCAAAATGAATAAATACATAAACTGTATTGTATATACTTGAAGCTAACAGCATGATGCTATAAGACATATGTAGGTACTAAAATGGCTGTGTTAGTGACACAGGTTAACACCTACCATTTCACAAAGTTACATTTTGTAACAAGAACAGCTAAAACCGACTCAATGAAAACCTGTAGTACCAACAGTTTTACTAACTATAGTCCTTGCATTGCATATCAGACCTCTATACTTGTTTCTTCTATACACCTGCTTTCTTAATATCCCTGGGCTGCACCTGCCCAGTTCCTTTCCCAACTCCTGCCATAACAACCACAGTTTCATTCTCTATTGCTGCAGCACTATTCACAATAGACATAGACACAACCTATAACACACACACACACACACACACACACACACACACACACCCCTACTGCTCAGAAAACTTAGATCCAGACTTCTTACATGGATTTCTAGGTTTTTCACATTCTTTCCACACATATCACCTGGAAACTTCCATCTCAGGCTAGTTTTTTTTTTTTTTTTCTGTTGGTCGTGGGGCTTGAACTCTGGGCTTGGGCACTGTCCCTCAGCTCTTCAGCTCAGGGCAAGCGCTCTACCACTTGAGCCACAGTGCCACTTCCGGTTTTCTGGTAGTTTATTGGAGATAAGAGTATCACGGACTTTCCTGCCCAGGTTGGCTTTGAACCTTAATCCTCAGATCTCAGCCTCCTGAGTAGCTAGGATTACAGGTGAGCCACTGGCGCCCGGCTCAGGCTAGTTTTGATCCACTTCCCTAGAGAGCTCATGTGCTTTTCCTCCACATATAACTGTGGGTACTCATCCCTGGCCAAGGTAAGAGTGCTGTACTTGCAGTCAGATGATGTCAGATGACCTGAGCCTGTCAGCTTTCTTACCCTCAAAGCTTCCAAGAGGCCACCCTGGATTCTATATTCTAAATGATACCTGCACATAGGGTTCATGCCTGTCAGCCTAGATACTGCGGTGGGGGGGGAGGGGGTGCTGAGGATCTAGGGTGATTGCAGTTTGTGGCCAGCCCAGTCAAAATGGTGGCCAAACCTCATTTCAGTCAATGGAAAGATAGTTAGGTGTGGTGACACTCCCACATCATTCCAGCTACCCAGGAAGTACAAATAAGTGAATTGTGGTCTAGGTTGGACCAGGAAAAAAGTGAGACCTTGTTCAGGCCAGAGTAGGGGCAGGAAGTGGATAGAATGAATAAAATAAAAAACTGGAGGCATGGTTCAAGTGGTAGAGTGCCTGCCTAGCAAGTACAAAGGCCCTGAGTTCAAACTCCAGGAATGACAAAGACTGTTACAGCCTCAATCTTATAACTCTGACTCTTCAAAAACCAGCTGCTCCATTTTTCTTTTTGTCTTTTCTTTTTTGGTACTGGGGATCGAACCCAGGATGTTGCAGTTGCTAGGCAAGCATTTTGCCACTGAGCTACATCCCAGCCCAATGAGCTACATCGCAGCCCAATGAGCTACATCCCAGCCCAATGAGCTACATCGCAGCCCAATGAGCTACATCCCAGCCCTCCATTTTTCTGTTTCATGTAGAGTTCATCATCTTTCCACTTACGACGTTTTGTCTCTCATCTGTCAAAACATAAGCTTGTGGAGGGCAGGAGTTCTTTTGTTCATGAATAAATGTATCCCAAGGATGTAGACTAGAACTTTCAGCCTGCTGGACAACTTTGGAATGAGTGAGTGAATAAATACTTGGGTGGACGAATGAATGGATGGATGGATATATGACTGACGTCTACACCAGGAAGGCATAGATTTGAGCTAACCATGTTGAAAGGGCCTAGGCAGCTGAAAGGAATGACAAGTGTTCATCAGAGGCCGCTGGGTAGTTCCCTGGGTAAACTCTACATTTGGATGACTAAGAAGAGAACCCACCTGCAGATCTACAGCTCAGTTAGAGGAAGAAAAGGAACGAGGTATGTCAAGGATTGAAGAGGATGGACTCTCTAGGGACCCTGGAACCCCTGGGGCCTGGGTAGGTTGGTGGTAGAGCACTGTTCAAGTTCTAGGACCACACAGGGCTGTGAGTTTTACTCTTGTCTCCTGAACTAGACTGGACATTCCACAGACACAGATCACGTGGCCCTCCTTTTTGTTAAAACCCACCACCCCCTCCCCCACCATGCTCCCATTCCTGAAGTAGGCAGACAGGCCACTGTGACAGCTTCCATGCTTTGGGTCAGCATCCCCCTGCAGGGCAGGCAGGAATTTCTATTCGCAGGTGTTTTGGAGCACTTTGAATCAGTCGGCTTCCAGCCAGCACTCTGAAGCCATCATCTCATTGTATTCCAACCACATTCCTGGAAAGCAGACAACCTGATCCTCTCCAGCGATTAGAGAGATCTAGGTGTTGGGACTGGAGAGAGGCCAAGGGCGCACCGGGTCTGCCTCCGTGGGAAGGTTTCTTCCCAGCCTCAAGGCGGGTGGAGGGCTCACCACAGCAGACAAGCAAGGAGGCTGGGGTCTTTGCCCTTCCTTCAATGATTGCCACTAGGTATGCTCTTCACAGTTTTGTCCATTACCCCCGAAAGCCAGGAATAAAACCCTCTTTATCTCTGCCAATTTTCTCTACTTTTGTTGCCTCGGCAGGAACTTGACTAATTTTTTAAAAAAACATTCTAGCAATGAATACTGGTGGTAATCTGTAAAAGAGAAACCACAGATAGCAAACACACCAAGTTATTTAATGACTATGAACTCAAAAGCCTACCATTTCTACCTCACATTCTTTGAGGTATCTTGAAAAAATAGCAGAAAGGCATTTGTAAAGAAGTTATTCAATATGTGGTAAAGCTGTGCTTTGGGAATCCAATTGGAGGGCATATAGGCATATAATCAGAATTATAAAAATACTCATAATCTCTGCCCTAGGTTAGACTTAGGGTACTTTTGGTATCCTAGTTGAAAGAAATGACTAAATATGAAGCTTTAGCTTCTATGATTAATCATATTTACTAATCATTCTTTCTAATACTGTGTGATTAGAGGCTGGACAGAAACATCCACTGGGAATGAAGGCACACTTAGTGAACAGAACAGCACTTAGCCAGCAAAGACAGTAGGAAGGAATATCCTCTCAAGTAATCTAAGTCAATCAAACAATCCTATGTTCATATGGGTTATAATATTGACCAAAATTTCAGTAGACTGGTAATTACAAGTTGAATGATGTTACAAGGAAACAGTCGGTGAGGGTCCAGGACAATCATCAGATCTCTGATCTTGCTTTGGTGTTTCTCAGCAAGGCCACCTCCATGTGACCACCTGCCTGCTCTTGTTTAGCAATAGTAGGGTAAAGGATTTTGAATCTGTAACCATTTAGAATCTGGGGACCTGAAATGAGTAAGAACCGAATCAGAAGTGCAATAATAGACAGCATCCAGCAGGAGGAGCCTTTGCCCAAAGAAGAAGGGGCTACCACAGTTCTCAGTCTTTTTTGTTTGTTTTCTTTCTTAAAACATAATTGGGAATTGAACCCAGGGCCTTGCCCTAACTAGGCAATCTCTCTGCCACTTGGGGTATGCTGACCCCATCCTTTTTATTTTATTTTGTTTTTGAGATGGGGGCGTGCTAACATTGAACAGACTGACTTTGAACTCATGATCCTCTTTCCTTTGACTGTCACGTAATTGAGATTTCCTAACCTTAAGTCAGGTATTTTAATAACCAAACCACTAATCTAGAGGAATAGGATGTATTTCCAAGCCAATGGTGAAACCGAAGATGGTTTCATAACCCTTTCCCAGCATCTTTTTGTCCAGAAAGCTTTTTCTTCATCAGTTATATTCTGGTTATATCAGGGTCATCAAGAAGGAAGTTGGGCTGTGTGCTGATGACTCATGCCTGTAATCCTAGCTACTCAGGAGGCTGATATTTGAAGATCAAGGTTCAAAGCTAGCCTGGACAGGAAAGTCCATGAGACTCTTATTTCCAATAAACTACTCAGAAAAAGCTGGAAGTAGCACTGTGGCTCAAGAGGTAAATCACAAGCCTTGAGTAAAAGAAGCTCAAGAACAGTGCCAAGGCCCTGAGTTCAAGCCCCAGGACTGGCACAATAAACAAACAAACAAGGAACTTGGCACTATTCATACCAAAGACTTCATGCACAAGGACGTATGAATTAAATCCATGTGTTCAGTATGAAAGTATGTCTAAGTTAGAATGTTAGTATGTACTTACATAAAATGTGTGTGTGTCTATGTGCGTAGGTATGTTTTGCTTTTTTGAAATGAGAGCTCATATTTTCAATTGTAATTCTCACTGGAAAGTGGAAGTGGAGAGACTAAGCAACTTTTCCTTTCCACAGTATAACTTCTTGTCATAGTTACAGTTTTTATGGTGTGTATGTATAGTTTTGAAAGTAGATATCATACACCAATACTGACATTTCTCTATTTTCCTTTCTTTTTCTTTTTAGGGCAGCGGCACCGACCCAAAGGAAGATCTCTTCTCTTTATACAGAGCAGAGCGTCAGCCTCATCATGCCTCTGTTGGTGGCTCTGGCTTCAGTGGCTCAAATGTAACTAGAAGCTCCACTCTGCTGTTCTGACAGCCAACAGCCCCACACCTTCCCTTGGGAAATAGCCCTCTTGTATGTAAGCTAAGTGATGCAGTTGTCTAAACACATTTCCTTCTGGGAAAAATGGGATCCTGAGATGGAATTCCAATGGCCTTCATCCTCTGGATTCTGGAAACAAGACATTAATCTAGTCCTGCTTAGAATGAATCTTCTGCATTAGAGTTAGGTCTTGCCAAGGGCTAATCACAGTGAAAATGGAGTACAGGAACTGCTCCGTATCCTCCCTGGTGAGTCCATACATTTCTCAAAACTCTTACTAGTGTCATTGAAAGGAATAAATCTCACGATTAACAAGGTGTCTCCAGAGAACATTTATCATATAGGAAATTATCAATGATAGGTATAATAAGATACATAACTGCTTACCATGTGATCCCACTGTCTGGAATACAATACACCTATAATGACTTGTATCGTGAGTGTGTGTTTGAATACACTGAAAATGAATGAAAGGAAATAAATCAAAAGGCTGGGTACTGTGCTCATCAGTGACTCTAGTGTGGACTTTGGTGTATTTCCAACATTTTCTGCAGTGAGAATAAATTACTTCTATAGCCAGAAAAAGACACACACACACACACACACACACACCCTACAACCATAGATGGGCAGAAATGTGAACTGATAAAAGCGAAGTCGAAGCTAGTCTTAGACACGTTGGTTCTCTATATTCTTTGTCTAACCCACATCAGGAACAGGTGGCCAGGTACAAAAGCTCCCTGATTCTGATGCCAGAGACCAGCAAATGGCAGGGAAGCTCTTGACCTTCCTGGAGACTTCTAGAATTCTCTATGGAGAATTCTAGGCACAGTTCTGCTCGTGGCAAAAGGCTCCCTATTGGAAACACCAAATTTAGAGTTGCATCTTTCTGATATAATTCTAGAGTTGTATCTGCTCCAAATCTGATTGAGGCCCACCTAAAAATATGCCACTACTCAATTTTTGTGGACGCTAAGCAAATATTTACCATAAAGCTGAAAAATCTCACCTTTTAGTGATCATTGTATTCAACCAGTATGTCCAATTCAACGTCCTGATTATCTAGAGAACTGCTCAGACTCTATCCTGGGCAGGCCTTATCTCTCTTACTGGAAGTGATGCCAGTTTTCTGGTTTCCTTGACCTTTCACCTTTCTCTGAATTTCTGACTCATCCCTGATCTCTAATCCCTTCCTAGTAGACTGCACACAGGGAACTCTTCTGTCCAACTGTGCTCAATCCAGGGGTTGTATGTCTGGAAGGAAAGGCCAGGCTGTTTTGCTGTGATTTGAATAGGGTTTGTCTTCCTGTCTTCAGGCAGGAGTTTCATCCCCAAAGTTTTCTTAGGTGAATATAACAGGTGGGTATAGAAACTTAATCCAACTATGGTATTTAGAGGTGGGGCCTTAGGGAAGTGGTTAGATTAGCTTAGCTCATTAGGTTGGAGACTCAAACAGTTGAATCCATCAGGGGGTAGGAGAGGGAGAGAACATGGACACAGGTGCGTACGCACTCCCTCCATGACAGACGTGTGCTAGGAAGGTTCTTAGCAGAACTTGGATCATGCTGCTGACATCCTTCACCTCCACAGCGGAGTGAAAATAAACCCTTTTCTTTTCTTTTTCCCCTTTACTATTTCTGTTTACTCACGGGACCCTGAATGCTTCCGCTCTCACCCCATCTGATCCCTTCATCCTTTCCTGCCCTTAAGTAACAGTAATCTACTTTATTTTTCATAATATTAGTGATAACTCTCCATTTGAAAAGACGTGTCTGTTATGGAAAAATTAGAACAGAAGCAAAAATCATCTGCCATACTCACATTACATGTAAATTATCAGACCTTTTTTTTTTTTTTGCTCCTCTGTTTCTGGAGCTTGAACTCAGGGCCTGGGCACTGTCCCTGAGCCTCTTTGTGCTCAAGGCTAGCTCTCTACCACTTGAACCACGACACCACTTCTGGCTTTTTCCAGCTTACTAAGATAAGTAGTTTACATGGACTTTTCTGCCCAGGCTGGCTTTGAACAATGATCCTCAGATCGCCGCCTCCTGAGTAGCTAGGATTACAGGCATGAGCCCCTGGTGCCCAGCTATAATCAAACCTTTTTTAACTGAAAAAAATGTAGAAAGGAGAATATATATATATATATTTATACACACACATTCCTACACATCTTGACATTTTTAAGCCTATATGACAATATTGGGCATTAAGATTACAACCAGGCATAGAAACTTTAAATCACATTTACCTGTTCTGGACATTACCTGTTTTGGACTTTCACAAGTTAAATTGCTAATAACAAACATATCATTGCTCCCTAGTTGGTCTTCCTGTTTCTGCTCAGTTTCCTCCTCCTGCCCTATAGCTTGTGTCCTACAATGCTGCCAGAGCGATGAGCTAAGGTCTTCATTCCATTGCACTCTAGCTCAAACTCATCCATGTCTTCCTACTGTCAGCAAGATAAAACAAATAAAATAAAATAGTGTTTGTTTCTTTGTTCTACACTAAGGATTAAGTCCAGGGCCTCATGCATGCCAGGAAAGCACTCTACTACTGAGCTACACCCCCAACCCAAAGTCCTTTCTTTCCTGTGCCACAAAACATCTTCGTAGTCCAGTGCACTGCGAGACCCCTCCATGCTGGGCATGCCCTTCTCAACACAAACCCTCTATCTATCCAGGAGCTATGCTTACCCATTCCTTGAAGTCATACTTTGTTCCAGCTTGAGATCTAGTTGTTTTGATGTATCTCTTGAGGATAGTGACCTTAATCCATTTGTCCTGGTGACAGCTCTATGCTTATCCATTCCTTGAAGTCTTGCTTTGTTCCAGCTTTAGATTCATCTGTTTTGATGACTCTTTTTCAGGACAGTGACCTTATCCATTTGTCTTTATGTCTTTCACAGTACTTTGCCCACACTAACCATGGCCTCTGAGCTTTGATGAGTTGAAGGGATCATTACTGAATTTGTATTAAAATTAAGTGTTTCAAAAGGTGTGGGTACCAAGAAAATCGTTATAGGGAGGCAGTCCAATGCTGGCTAAGGGCAGAGTTCTGGGCTTGACAGTCTGGCTTAAGTCTTGCCTTTAGCTTTCGCTAGCTGTGTGTTCCTGTAGAAATCACTTACCATGTCTGGTCTGGGCTGTTTTCCCTTTTGTTAGTGTCTCAACTATTCATACAGAAATGAGTCAGTGTGCATAAAGAGCCCAGCACAGTGTCAGTTACCAGATTAATTGGTACTGTTAGTTGCTAGTACTTGGTTATTTCTATTAGAGTTGTTTGGTGCTTGTCTAAACACCACTAGACTTGATGAGATATTCTGTCCATGGGGTATATGTGCTAAGGTAGCAGAGAGAAAATCATAGAGATTGGAGAATATGCAGGTGTGTGTGTGTGTGTGTGAGAGAGAGAGAGAGAGAGAGAGCGAGAGAGAGAGAGAGAGAGAGAGAGAGAGACAGTCCTGGAGCTTGAACTCAGGGCCTAGGCACTGTCCCTGAGCTTTTTCGGTCAAAGCTAGCACTTCAACACTTGAGCCACAGCTCTATTACTAGCTTTTTTGGTAACTAATTGGAGATAAGAGTCTTACAGGCTTTCCTACCCAGACTGGCTTTGAACTGTAATCCTCAGATCTCAGCCTTCTCAGTAACTAGGATTACAGGCATGAACCACTGCCACCCACCATAGAATATGGAGTTTTAAAGTATGTCTGGTGCTAAATAGAATAGAGAAAATAAGACCAAATTCCTAGAAACATTCTGTGTGTGTGTGTGTGTGTGTGTTTGTGTGTCAGTGTGTCATGGGGCCTGAACTCTGGACCAGGGCACTGTCACTCAGCTCTTCAGCTCAAGGCTAGTGCTCTACTACTTGAACCACAGCACCCACTTCCGGCTTTTTCTGTGTATGTGGTGCTGAGGAATCGAACCCAGGGCCTCATGCATGCAAGGCAAGCACTCTACCACTGAGCCACCTTCCCAGCCCCCCTAGAAACATTCTTGAATATTGGTTGACAAAAATAATTATATTAGATTAGACCCAAGTGGCTTAGGCCTGTAATCCTGGCTGCTTAGGAGGCTAAGATCTGAGGATTGTGATTCAAAAACAGCCCTGGCAGGAAAGCCCAGGAGACGCTTCACTTTAGTTAACCACCAAAAGCCAGAAATGGAGCTGTTGCTCAAGTGTTAGAGTAACAGTCATGAGCAAAAGAGCTAAAGGATGGAGTCCAGTCCCTGAGTTCAAGCCTTTGTATCAGCTCAAACACACACACAAACACACACACACACACACACACACACACACACATTGGAAAGACCAGGATTTTGAGAAAAAAAACATGACTCTCTCTTCTGATGGTCTTCAGAGTTGTGAAATGGAACCAATCCTAACTTGAGCAGCTAACAGGTTCTTATTTGAAGCCCACTTTGAACACCATCTATGCACACTGTCTTTGTTATAGTTGTGATCTTGAATGTTCCCTGAAGGCCCATGTATGGCGGGCTTGATCTCCAGGCCATGATCTTGGTCTCTAGGCCATGGCTCTGTCTGGAGGCAGCTGAACCTTTAGGAGGTATGGCCTTGGGTAGGAAGATCAGTCATTGGCTTCACGATCTTGAGCAGGGATATTGGGGAACTTGGGCCCCCTCTCCCTTTTAAAACATTTTTGCTTCCTGGCTGCCATGAGGAGAGTAGCCTCTTTCACACACCTCACGGTTGCTGTTCACACAGGGAGACCTGGGAATGCAGTGTCTGGTAGCCAGAAAGCGGACCATACTGTGTGGTTATAGACAAAGTTTATTGGAATGTCACATGCTTATATACAGCATACAGGCAGTCTCCATACAGTAAATCTTCAGTCAGGGGGCAGAGAGTTAATCGTAAACAGTTCTATGCAAACACTGACAATGAGAGTTTAACTTTTAAGTGAGTAAGCTGGAGATAATACTTGTCAACAAATGTGTTCCAGTAATCAAAGTAGGCAAAGCACAGGTGAGTACACAAAGGAGTCTCGAGGCATCGTTCTACTGGGTTAACTTGGAGGAGCACAAATGGCACTTCCTGCAGACCTTCAGCTGAGTCTGGCACTGGGCATCTGGACTGGTGCCCCTGAAACAGGGGGTCAAAATAACCCTTTTTCTTTTTAAGCTCATTGTCTCAGGCATTTTCTGTAGCACTGGAAAGCCTTCCCTCAAATTCATGTTCCGCATGAAAACCTTAGGAAACCAGCAAAGCAATGGCTAATTCCAGAAAAAGATGCAGAGCAGACTTTTGCTAAAGTGAACGCCAGCTTTCTCAAGTCATTCCTTTTTTCCATGGCATGATACAAACGGAGTTTTGCAACAGATGCCAAGTAGATGCGTGAGACTGGAGCGTGTCACCTTATGAAACAGTCCTGTTCCACTCCGTGTGGGACTGTCCACAGACGAGTTCCCAATGGTTGCCTGTCCGTTGTGTTGGCCTTTATGAAATGCCGTGGAAAAGTAGGACTCATGAAAATGTGTTTTCGTTGCAGACTT